CACACAGTTACAGAGTGAGAGAGCAGTCCAGTACTGACCTACACCCTGACTGAACACACTGTATATACTCACACACTGACCACACAGTTACAGAGAGAGAAATATAGTAACAGACTAAGTGAAGAGTCCAGTACTGACCTACACACTGTGACTGAATGGACTGCAAATGCACACATATTGACCACAGAGAGAAGGAAACACAGTACCAGAGTAAGACAGGAGTTCAGTACTAACCTACATTATGAAACAATGCACTGTATATACTCACACATTGACAATACACTGTACTTACAGAGAGAGTGCAATACAGTAACAGAGAAAGAAAAAAAAAAAAGAGTCTGGCACTGAACTACAACCTGAATGAATGGAAAGAGATCATCGCTAAGATCACATTTAACAGCACAGCGACAGGATCCCTGCCCTGCTAAGCCAATAACTAGGGTGCAAACCTAAAGCAGAATAGCAACCACATCAGCTCCAACTCTATATGAAAAGGCTTGGTTTGCTGCAAGGACTGTTTGATTTCCAGAAACCAAGCACATTATAATAATAATACTCACTTACTGGACACTCCACTCAAAGCGCTTTACAGGTATGGCGACTTCCCTCCACCACCACCACCAGTGTGCAGTCCCACCTGGATGATGCAACGGCAGCCATCGTGCACCAGTCCTCTCCCCACACACCAGCTCTAAGTGGGGAGGAGAACAGAGTAATGAAGCCAGTTCAGAGATGAGGCTTATTAGGAGGCCATGATTAGTAAGGGCCAATGGGAAATTTGCCCGGGACGCTGGGGTTACACCCCTACGCCTTTCGAGAAACGCCCTGGGATTTTTCATGACCACAGAGTCGGGACCTTGGTTTTACATCCCATCTGAAGGACGGCGCCATTTTTACAGTATAGTGTTGCTGTCACTATACTGGGGCATTAGGACCCACACAGACCGCAGGGTGAGCGCCCCCTGCTGGCCCCATTAATACCACTTCCAGCAGCTTCCTTAGTTTTCCCAGGAGTCTCCCATCCAGGTACTGACCAGGCTCACACCTGCTGAGCTTCAGTGGGGCTGCCAGCTGGGAGTTGCAGAGTGATATGGCTGCTGGCTAAATCAATAATTTAATTATCAATTCTGCATGAAAAAGTACTTCCACTGTAAAACTAAAATGCCAGCAAATATCCACTCAGGGACTTAACCCAAATTATAATTAATATATATATATATTCCTGCTGATCCTACTTTGTGCAGTCACTGAACAAAGGCACTAAAAAAAGATGCTGTGTTGCAGGGTTAAGAACTTTGCTTAAATGTATTCGGCCACAGCCCAGTTATCAGTAATGGGGGATTTTACGTTCAAAAGTACTTACTTAACATGTAATATGTTATAATGAAATAATGAAATAATGTTAACTGTGAAGTACAGTTATATAAGCAGTACCTGTATAGTTAACATAAAAAACTGTACATGAGCTTTTCACAGCAATTTCCCCCAAATTCTGAAAGACATTTCAGGTGGTCTGAAATTGCAGGTGGTCTTGGCACCTCAATACCTGTCTGAACTTTTATCCCCCTACTCCCCACCTCGCAACCTCCGCTCTTCAAATTCTGCCCTCCTTACTGTCCCCCAAGCCCGTCGACATTGTATGAGCGACAGGGCCTTCTCCTGCTATGCCCCCAAGCTCTGGAACTCTCTGCCCAAGGATAGCAGAGAGTCACCTTCTCTAAACTCCTTCAAATCCAGACTCAAAACCTTCTTCTTCAGAAAAGCCTTTACTTAACTGGTTCCATTCTTCACCCCTCTGCTCTTCTTAATGCCACCTTCCAAGGTCTCCTCTATTGTTATTGTTGTATTGCTGTAATTATAATTGTGTCCTATCTTGTGAAATCTTCTTATTTATTGTTAGTCATCCTGTAAAGCGCTTTGACAAGTCACCTTTAAAGGTGCTATATAAAATAAAGTTTATTATTGTTATTATTACACAAGTAACTGCATTTTCTAGAGTAACTCCTCAAACATTAAGTATATGAATATGCATGGTGTAAAAGATAAGCTGATTTACTAATTTATAAAGTAGCTACTTTGTGCACTTATCACAGAGCCTGTATTTCTATGTTGCAATGTTTGAGATATAACGCTATTTTTTTGATGCAGGTGGTCTGCAGCTACAAATAACTGGAACATAATCAAAAGCCCCCAAAATAACATATTTCCCTATCACTAAATAAAGCATATACAGGAAGTGGTAGCATGAGATTTATTGAAGTGCAGCACTCTGTGCAGAATATGACCAGCTCTTCCTCTATTTCAGATACTGGAGCTCACCAAAGCTCGACGGCAACAGAGCCAACAACTGTGCGGTCATAAATATAAATGCCAACAGTCTGAATAACTGGGTTGATGTAGGCTGCATATCGGCTCATCGAAGGATATGCGAAACTAAGGCCCTGTCATTTTCCATGTAAACACTCCCCTCTGTGTTAACATGGCAGGGGTGAAACTGAACGGCTGACTCATTGCTGTAGCTCTCGGTCCCGCCTTCGCACAATACAGGAACCACAACTGAAACCCTGCAAGATCATTCTAACACCTTCTCTACGTGTGCTCAGTCTTAACACAGGTGATTTTGGCTGCTATAATCTCTGATGCTCACCTGAAAGCAAATCTGTCTTTGAATCTCTCTGCCTCTTGTCTAAATGTAACTGATGAATAAGCCTTCACTATTGCCAATTTTCCCACACTGCCATTTACATTTTAATTATGAAAATGCCTTTGGGCAAAAGATGTTAAGAGTGACTATGTGGTGTCTCATTGCCAAGAGCAAAAATAAAAAATATTGTCCCTGTTTGTGTTCACTTCTGAGGTGTACCTGTATGTTGAAGAACATGGCCTGGTGGGATATGTTTTGTAAATCCAATCCCTTTGTATTTTGTGGAAAGTTGGTGATCAAGTGTGTTAAGAATGTCTTCTACCAACACCATAGGACCACTCTGAAACTCCCAGGCATTTAAAAGAATTATTGAACTCATTTGGAAAGATGTAGGTCACAAAATGACCTTCACCAGGAAAGGCAAAATAAGTCACATTTCCCCCCCCAAAAAATAAGGGCAAAGGTTCCCCAGTGGCAGTTTTACACAAAAGCTGAAGATTTAATGAATTTCACATTGTTCTGAACAACCCCGGCCAGCAGGCATTATCAACCTGCAACTCACAACAGGCAGCCCACCGAAATAAGCAGGTGTGAGCCTGGTCAGTACCTGGCTGAGAGGCTCCTAGGAAAAACTTACAGCAGCATCCTTTAGTGGTTAGTGAGTACCCCCTACTGGTCCCATCCTGCAGTCTATGTGGATCCCCATGACCCAGTATAGTGACAGTAACACTATACTGTAAAGAGGCATTGTCCTTCAGATGGGATATAAAACCATGGTCCCGACTGTGGGCATTAAAAACTCCAGGGATTTTCTTGACAAGAGTAGGGGGTGTGAACCTGGGGTCCTGGCCACATTTCCCATTGGCCCTTACCAATCATGGCCTCCTAATACTCCCCATCTATGAACGGTTTCATTACTTTGTTCCTCTCCACTGAGAGCTGATGTGTGGTGAGGGTTCCGGCGCACTATGGCTGCCATGACATCATCCAGGTGGGGCTGCACACTGGTGATGGTGGAGGGGATTCCCCATCCCCAGTAAAGTGCTTTGAGTGAAGTATCCAGAAGAGTACAAGCAATTAGCCTACTGCTTTTCACACCTCCTTTTCCCCCCCACTCGCTGACCTTGAAGCCTTCTCCTTCCCACCCTGGAATTAATTTCTACTACATCCACCTCTAGAAATAAAATAGCCCCTTTTTAACATGGTTCAGTACTGAAACCAGCCCCACCCTGTCTGAGCAATTCACTTTACAAACTTCAGAGGGCTGTCCCTGTAGAATAGCAATCATCCCACTTCCATCACTATAATTTAACACCACCCCAGGGCTCAAACATTGAGAAGGCCAGGGAAATTCAGTCTTAAGTTGTATGGGGCTGGAGACTTTTCTTGGTGCTTTTTTACATTCCAAAAAAATTGGGCAGCGAGCTGATTTTACGCATCCTTGTGTGTATTGTTTCCATAACCTTATGCCCCTCTCAAAGCACGGATGCAACACAGGTTTGATACAACTGATAACTCTGAGAACTTTATTGCAGGGTCAGAGATTTATACTCTTGAAACCCAACAATTTCTCCAGACTTCAGTATAACAATGAATTGGTTTACACTTTTTTTTTACAGCTTGCATTCTACAGTAAAAACCAAAGGAAACTTACAAAACCATCACCCAAAGAAGGCTCCATAGCCAAAAGTGTTTTTCCAACATGGAATAAACCTTTACTTGTTCCTTTGCAGTCTGCACTGGTAGTGTACCTACAATACCTGCATTTCAGTCCCTACAGGCTTTATGAGTAGGTCTACTCTGCACAGAATGATATACAGTACATACCACATGCTACAGCTTCCTATCCTTTAGGAAAGGATATTTCCTCCATTCAGTGCATACAGCAGTTCATTTGCTTCTTGAGAAATCCTGATGCGGACAGCTAAGGCATTCACTTTCCACACAGGAGTCTGCTACTTTCTTCTCAAGAAAGAAGAGGATCGGGCAGACTGGCACTTGTTTTCTAACCTCCTCGAAAATCGGTGCCTGCTGTCACGAATAAATCCTTCCATCGCGACTCGGCACCTCTGAGGGAGAACATTTAAGCATACACAGGCAGGTCACAAGAGAATTTAAAATTGAGAGCCAATGGTTGCCCTACAGTACATTCAAGCCCCGACCATTCCCCACAGACGCACGCTTGCGACCCTACTGTATCTATATACACTCCCAATACGATTCGGGATTCAGCGCGCTTTGCAGCGTTCTTACAAAGTGCGTTACCAAAAAACAAAAAAACAGCATAAGTTATTTTACAATACTGCAAATTAAAGGGCTCACGGAGCTGTTTATTATATCATAAGTTTACAGCCCAAAATGAGATATCCGACGCGTATAACTAAATTAGCGACATTAACCGATGAATAAAAGCCCACAATGCAGTGCACGTTTTCACTCAACCACAAAAATGTGTTAGTTACTGCTTACCTATCAGTGAGAACATTATTTAAGCATGCACATGCAGACTACACGAGAGAGCTTAAGAAAACTGCAAGAACCGCTGACCACTCCCGCATTCAACACGCCACCGACACTCAGCCCCCTAATCCCCCTGTTTATACACGCCCTATGATTTGCGACAGGTGTAAAGTCTGTCGCTGCTGCAAATCAGGGTAACTCACTAATTAAGGCAACACCTCTCTTAAAGAGAGTATAACTGCATGCGGGATACATTGCGGTAAAACAAAAAAAAAATCAAAGGAAAATTATAAAAAATATTACTATATTTATTACTTTAAGTTTATATTTACATATGAAACCTATGGAAGCTTGTTAGCGCCACGGAGAAAAACAAATTGCGTGTAAGCGAGATAGTATTGCGTTTATACGAGATAAGACTGTGCTAATACGCGATAATTAATTCGAATGATACAATTATTGAATGATACAATTATTGCTGGAATCTGTGAGCATAAAGCCCTGAAAAAAAAATAGACTATTCTTACATCAAATACATTTGAATTTGGAATTACACATCAAAATGCAGGAGAATTACTGTAGCATTTGAAGGAAGAAGGCTCTGTATTTCTGTATCCGTTTAAGAGATCTTTACGTTCATGTCTGTATCATGTCTTATCTTAAAGAGACGGCACATAGGCAGTTCTACAGTTTGTAGATTGTTGGTTTGTTACCAACAATAACAGTAACAGTAAGCCAGCACTAGGTATAAGTCTTACTGTTAAGTCACCATAAATGTATTCCGTTCAAAGTTCAAAGAGTAGGCTAAAACCAATGTAAGGTACATTTTTTTTTTCCTGCAGTCTCGCATCAAGAATAACTTAGGTTTGGAAAGCTGTTATTTCTTCTTTTAGCACAAACCGCGAAAACGACACGCATTTAATCCAGGAATGCCCGCTGAAAGGTGTTCTGCTTCACGTACTGTATACAAAAGACAGTACACGTGCTCCTGTAGACTAATCCTTTGGCACTAACAGCAGTGTGACGATATTCTTCTGAGGCTCAGTTCAATTGAGCTGGAAGTCAAAGCTAGTTTGCCTCGGATTATACTATTGCATGCGTATTGCAAGATATTAATACAGTAAGCAATATTGTGCAAGAATTAATTATATAGTTTTAACGCAATGCTATTTTGTATAAACGCGAAATGTTTCTCGTTTAAAAGAAATATATATCACCAATATCTGGCCTCTAGGTGTCACACATCATCCCAGCTCATCCCACAAATCTTCAATGGTGCTCGCGATTGGTCGAGAAGAACATACATAACTGTCACACGATCAGCTCTTAGGAAAGCCACTCGTACATGAGCTGAGTAAGGATGTCAGGTCAGGATGGATCCACAGGATGAGTGCTGTCCCGCTGGAATGGTGTCACACCAGAAAGAATCTGCAAGAAGGACATTGATCGGTATAGCACCTTACAGCCAGGCTGCCATCAATCACTCACTACAAGCGGGGTCCTGGAGTGAATACTGTAGATCCAGGTCTCCATTTCTGGTCCTAGAGAGCCCCAATACCCATTCATTAGTTGTAGACACAGTGGATTCAATGAGTGTATACCAGATGTATGTTTGCAGTGGTTTGAAGAAGACTTTTCACTACATAAAACTACGCAATGTAGGGTCTTTTTCAAGTTTGTTTGAACAGGCCGGACAACGACAGGACAATCATTTCACAAACTCTTTCCCGGGAATGTACTGTTTGTTCTGCTGTTTGTACTTTGAGTCTGCATTTTTGGATCTTAACCATCAGAGACCCGACGATAACCTTTTTTAAGTCACTGAGTCAGTGTGTCTCTGCCCTGGCTGAGTGACGGCCGTGATTGCAGTGACCCCAGCCAGAAACCTCACTGTTATTTTCATTTTTATCATTGCTATTTCATTGATATAAAAATGTGACATATTCTGTATATGCTGTATCATTTCACATCTATTTCTTTCCTAATTTCCTCACTGTCTTCAGTCTACCTTGCAAGGCAGGACTTGCATTCCAATTTCCTCTGCCTGTGTCTTCTCCTCTGTTTTCATGGGATGCCTTGTACTCTTGCTGTTTTCCAGACCTTTTTATCACTCCCCTGCAAGACACATGTATTTCTACAGTCTGCTGATGAGCTCCTCAGCAATGTCCTGTTCAGGCTGATATCTGGAGATCTACCGTCCTCTGATCACTTCCACACAGTGATCGTCCACAAGAACCTCTTATTGAGTTCGCCACCTGTTATACGACAATCCACACTGATCACCTCCCCAACAACCGTCCACTGATCTTTTCCTTAAATATTCCCAGTTCAGACTCACACCTCTGTATCTGCTGTCTGCTGATCACCTTCTCTACACTTCCTGTTCCTGTCTCGCACAGGTGACTAGCTAATACAGCAAATGACACAGTGGCTGACTCACAAACCAGGTCAGAAACTGCGAGAGAGCTGAGGTTTACCAAAGGCCCATGGAGATCTTCAGAGCCTGTCTGGGGGGGAGGGGGGGTTGGGAAATAAAAGGGGAACATTCCAGTCCCAACCTCCCCCCATTTCTAGTAAAATTAGCACACTCAGACAGTGGATCTGCTTTGACAGAGCTTACAACAAGGCATCCACTGAAGCAATTGGATCGACATACCTGTATCCAGCAGTAACCTTCCTAGGATGTGAATCATGAAACTCCAAACCAGCACACAACTATGCTACATACTGTATGCACTAGTACAATTTCAGTACGGAAATCGTCATATTGAAAACAAAAATGACATTTTACTGATGGCCACAGGGATCACGGCATGTGTAAAAAATAAAGTCTGAGAAGTATAAATCATAAGCAAGGGTGGCGCTGTGGTCAGCATTGCTGTTGTGGCGAGTTATTCCGAGCCCTGTGCAGGTCTCCAAGAGGGTCCGAATGGCTACGAGTCCGAGAGGGGCGAGATGAAAGGGTTGTCGAGAGGTCCAAGGCTAGAGGAGTCTTCGTAACTGTCCCCATCGTCATCCCTCCTCTTAAGGGCGCTCCTACCCTTTCGTATTTTAGTTCATGATGTGCACCTGCCCCCTGTTTTGTCTGTCCTTATTTAATCCTGGAGCTCCCTCTATTCCTGGCTCAGCATTGGGAGATAGACACCCGGAAGCCCACCTACCAGTGGGTCCAGGAGAGACCCGATGGCATAGGCGTCCTGACCGTCTGAGTCCGGGGCTCGGAGCGCCTGGCCACGTTACCCTGGTTTTTACTCCTTGCTCCTGTTCGGGATCCGGTTCCGGATTTTAACCTTGTCTGTCTTGGATGGATCCCCCAGTTCCTGGACCCTGGACTGCGCCCCGGATTCCCCCTTTGGGCTGTCGGGATTGTTTGCCTGCGCCACGCCCCCCCCCGAGCACCGGATCACCGCCGTCACGCCCCCCTGTCTGTCCACCCCTCCTGATTCTCGTCGTCTCCTCCCTGTTGTCCTTCTCCACTTAGTTCCGGATTATACCATCTGCTCAGGGTCCTGAGCTATGCTTCACGGGAGCCTGGACCGGCTCCCCTTATAGTAATGGTGGTCAGAGGTAAAGGATGATGCGAGCTCAGGAGGCGGATAGATTCCTAATACCGAGCGAGGACTCGAAGTGAACAGAGGGTTTTATAGTGAAGGAAGGGGTGTGGAAGAGAAATTGGATAATGAGGATTAATTGATGCCAGCTGCATCCGTAACAGGGGCACTAGGTTCACCTCCTGGGGTGCTGTCTGTCCGGAAGTTGTGTGTTCAAATGGGTTTCTTCCAGGCTGCTCTAGTTTCCTCCCAGTCCAACAACGTACTGGTAGATGAATTAGCCTCTGTAGAAATTAGCCCTGGCCTGAGTGAGTGTGTGTCTGTGTCTGCCCTGTGATGGACAGGTGTCCTGTCCAGATGTTTATATCCCTCCTTGCACCCAGTGCCTCCTGTGATTGGCTCTGGGCTATCATGGCCCTGTACTGGATAGGTGGAAGATGAAAGTTATAATGCTGTGCTGATTAAAGTGACATGTAGCTTGTTGGATTGCACCACCAGATGGAGCCAAACGTCTTGTTCATTCACATAAAGGAGTTCTCTACCTGCATTCACCACGATCAGACAGATGATAGTTCCAGGTAGGGTTACAGCCCCCCAGAATCCTTGAAACACAGGATGGCACTCCTGAAGGGACTCCAGCTATATTGCCACCAGCTCACCTACCCTGTGTGACCCTATCGTGCCACTGTGCCATCCAAAATAAAAACAACTAAAATAATAACACACTGATGCAATACAAAAGGAGTACTTTTTAGACCTACTTGACCAGTGTATCACTGAGTAATGTGTGTCCTGCTCGTGTCCTTTTAAGATTTGTGGTAAGTATACAGGCAACAAAGATCTTACAAAGACAGGGGCTGAGCTAAGACACGGATCAGTGCAATTATAACAAAAAAAAAAACTGAATTAACATTTTTAATCACAGCCATAACACTTTTTTTTTACAGAAGGTGGAAGGTGACAAACAAAAACTGGACCTTAAAACAAGGGAAGCTTTTAGAGAAATCAGAACATATTAGAATATATACTGTACATTTTAACAACTTAGCCACTCCGAAAAAGTTTCTGATGGGCTAGATTCAAGTACCTATGTCTGATTGGAACAAACAGGCTTCAGTGTCTGTGACAGTGCATCAGTGCTGGCAGCTGTCAGTCGGTGTATGGGCATGCCAGGGTGTGGGTGTGAGAGAGAGAGTCAGTGTGTTATCCAATCACTTGGTCAGGCAGTTCATCAGTCTGCCAGGTTGCCAGTCAGTCAGCGTGTCAGACAGTCAGTCGGTCAGTCAGTCTGTGTCAAAGGGTCAGTGGGTCAGATCTTCACAGCGCTCATTTCGCAGATGCGTGGATACTGGAAGTCGCAGGGGACGTCGAACCAGGATTTCGAATGAGAGTTGAGCACTGCGCAGTCCTCCCCATGAAGCCCACCGGACAGGTGATTGTCAGGCTGCGACTCGAGTGCATTCCAGTAGCTGTGGAGAGAAAGAGGGCACGCCGACTGAGTGAATGACTGCCCCCCCCCTGCAGAAAATGGTGCACTGTGGCGGACATGGACTTACGTTATGTTGACGGGGGTGTTGTCCACCCATCTCCAGTCCCCCTCTTTCTCAATGTCGTTCAGCCCGATCCAGTAGTGGTAGTCAAACCCACCGAGCTTCTTTGCCTCCTGCTCCAGGAAGTCCTGAGTAGATCATGACACAAGAACAGACAGAGTGTTACACTGTAACACACACACTGTAATATTGACTGCTACACTGTAATAGACTGTTATACAGTAATACATACTGAAATACAGATCGTTACATTGATACAGGTTATTACACTGTAATACAGATTGTTACACTGTAATACATACATTTATACACACTATACTACATATGGTTATACTGTAATTACTACAGTGTAACAGCCATGATGTATTTCAGTCACCCTGTCAGAAACTCACATGCTGTTTGTGGCTCAGCAAGATGACCAGCCTTCCTCCCAGCTCTACACAGCTGTCACGGCTCTCGTTCCACTGCATTTTGTCTTTGCCGAAAAAGTAACACCTGTCTTCGTGCAGGAGCCATGAGACGGGGCAGGGCTGACACACTTTCACTGAAGACAGACAGGGGCAAGGGGTTAAGACAGATATCCCCCATGACTGGAGATCGTCACCATCCCGAGAGAGAGAGAGAGAGAGAGAGTGAGTGCGAGAGGACAGCTAATGGAGTAGCACTGTGCTGAGGGAGATGTGAAGTAAGAGTTTCATAAGCCAAAAATACTGGGGCCTTGGGTTCAAATCCTTAGGTCCAATTCATATCAAGTTTGTATGTTCTCCCCCTTTGTCTGTGGTTGCTTCCTTCTAGTGTTTCAATTTCTTATGTCAGAAACACATACTGTACATGCTGTTTTTTCAGCCCTGCCCGAAGTCTATCGGTTATAAGATCTTGTGTAAAGCATGTTTTTTTTTCCATCGAGGAACCTTCACACTCTTTTGTTCAATGAATCCCAATTACTCTCCTCAGAACACCGATTTAGATTTGCCAATCTAAGAACAGAAATTTTCATTTTTCATTTACACTTTCAGCCGCATGTCTATTTGTATTGTATATTGTCTATTTCTGTTTTTTTCTTTCTTTATATTGACCACTGCTGCAAACCAAATTGCCCCTAGGGGATAATAAAGACTCTATTTACTCTCTACTTACTCAGTCCAAAGGCACACTGATAGGTTAACTGGCTTCTAGGAAAACCGGCCCTGGAGAGAGTGTGTGTGTGTGTTTGTGTCTGTATATGCCCTGGGATGGACTGGTGTCCTGTCCAGGGTGTACCCTGGCTCGTTTCTGTTGGTTGCTGGGAAAGGGTCTGGATCCCCCATAACCCTTTGGCTTGGCTGAAGTCTGTATTGGCTACAGCAGATGTGGAGTAATGGATGGATAGGCTGATCCTCACCTGTAGTACCCGGCTGAGGACACTTTTCGGCCAGGCTGTTATACTGCTGACACACTGCAGTGTATCGGCTCTGCAGGTGGTTGTATCGGAACTCGAGTGCTGCCTCTGTCCTCCCTTCCTCACACGCAGGGGCACTGCTCCCATTCAGAGACCTCAGCTTTGACATACAGGGCTGCTGGGACTTCTGGTGAGATACTGAGAGAAGGACAGAAGACAGAAGTATGATTGCAAACACCTAGGGAATAGCAGTCCATATTACAAAAAGTGATGTACAGTGATGGTACAAGTGTTATATATTAACATACCGTATAATATGAAAGAGTACACTATAGAGTAATAGCAATGTGTTGTACTACAACAGTGATTGCACTATACTGCAGCTGTGACTGTATCGCACCCCAGCAGTGATTGCACTATATTGTATTGTTACAGAGGGAGTACTCACACACAATGCCAAAGGCAATATTTGCAGCAATAGACAGCAGAAGAGCTATGGTGAGAAGAATCACACACTGTCTTCTCACACATTGGCCGTTGTTCTTCATGGGGGACATGCCTGCAACACAAGGACAGCCATCATCATCATCACCAACCACCACTATCATCATCAACACCATAATCCCAACCATCATCACCATAAGTCATTTCACTATCTCCATCATACTGTCACTAACAACAGCAACAAGAACGACATCAATAAGAACGAGGATAATGATGATGTTGTGCAGCATGTGTGGCACAAACACACGTCAGCACCAAACAGCTACAGGCGGAGTCGTGTCAGTGCAATGTGTGAATGACGAGGTAAAGCTCGAATGTCAATGGAATGTGAATGTCTTAAATATTCATGACAAACATGGCTTTGTTTCCGCGCAATACAATTATGATTACAGTATAACATGTTCAGAGTTTTTTAAAGACATATTTTATATATTTTTATACATATACATATTATACATATGTCAAAGTGGTTATGAATAAAATGGAAGGGCATTGTATATACTGTACAGTGGGTTCAAAGAGTTGTTTTTGGTATATATGTATGCAGTATCTCTGTCACGTTAGTGTTTGAACAGGTCAGACACTGAACATTTCCCAATCTCTGTTGAAAAGCACAGAGTTGCAGTGGTTGTGTTTGTTTTGGTCTTGTACTTTGAGTTTTTTTTTGGTTTTCCAAAGTATGACATTTCTAAGAAAAGTGTATCTAAGTCATTGAGGCTGTATTTCTCATTGCATGGCCTTTGAGCACCAGAGAAACTGGACACCTACAAACAGTGCAGTATCTTAAATCTGCTGTGAAGTAACTAATGTATAAAATCAGAATACTGGAAATGCATTGTTAGTTACGGTAATTATATCAGTCGCTCTGATGAATTATCAGATTTAAGTAGATCAGATTTTTCTTCCTCAAAACTCTCCTATTCAGTAACACCCCTATATCCACAATTTACTGATTTTTTCATCAATATTCTCCTGCTCATACTGGCACCTAAAGATCCACAGTTCATTAATCACCTCCTGAACAATCTGCTGTTTAGACTGACACCTGCAGAATAATAGTCTACTGATCACCCGCTCAGCAAACTACTATTAAAAGAGACATGCAGAGTCAAATTCCAGTGACCATCACCTCAGGATTTCAATGTTCAGAGACAATTATACTTTACACAATCCACTGATTACCTCCTTAATAATGCTCTATTCAGTTACCTGTAAATTGACAATCTTTTGATCATTTCCTCAGTATCTATCTGTTCGGACTGGAAATCCATTCATCAACTCAGCAATCTTCTTCTTGGACTGACTCTTGTACTGATTACTATCTACTGATCATCCTTTCATTAATCTCCCTTTCAGGTGTGCTTGCCGTCTGCTCCTGTCTCCTGTTTCCTCTTATTTTGCTCATTGATGGACTGAGCGTCAGACTGATACACCGATTGACTGGGCTGACATAGTGGCCGCCAGACTCACTGCTCTCCTGACTTGTTGAAGCACCGTCCAGTTCCCAAGCCAATTAGCCTTAATCACCCACAGCTGCCCAGTTAAGCAAGAGGATCCCCTACCTTGCAGGCTGTCATCAGGGTTCAGGGATGTTAGGATGGGCCGGTTGCTCTTGGTGGACATTTCCTCAGTGTAGTCTTGCAAGCTGGTGTAACGTTCACTGACATCCATGCTGGCGTTCTCTGTGCTACCAAAATCAAGCCCGACATGGTTCCGCTCAGTGGCTCAACTATTTCAGTACTCATTCGAATGTTTCATTAGTACCAGAAACATCAGCATTGACAAACGTAATAGTCATTCTTATTGGTAGTAGCACAACTAGTAACTGTAGTAGTGGCAGCAGTAGTAGTCACAATAGCAGAAGACTTAGAATTATCAGCAATGGGAAGAAACAATTCTATTGGCAGGAGCACTGTTAGGGGTGGAATTAGAAGAAGTAATATCAACAGAACTCAAAATATTAGGAACAGAAGTAATAAAGCAGAGGACACAGCATACTCACTATCTCAGTCCAGTGGCTGTTTCTCTGTGTAAATGCAGCTCGCTCCTCACTCTAATCCACACTGACTAACCCTCAGCTTCCAAAACAAACTGTTTCCTGTTGCTTTTTCGCCTCCTCTCTTTCGTCTGAAGTTCAAGGGGACCTCCTCCTTCCTGTGCTCCGCTGCCCTTGTGGTCGCTCCCTCTCTCGGCTCCTGCTGTTCCTGCAGTGTTTATATTTCCAGGGAGAGGTGTGGGGGCGTAGGGGGGAGGGGCTGGTGGCGCAGGAATGTACAGGCTGATAGCAGCAGCGAGGGGGGGGGGAAGACAAACAATTTGGAAGAGAAAGTTGTGTAGCAAGACTGGATGGGCCAGAGTGAGGAAATGTTTGTACGCCTTCCCTCTCGGAGGTCGTATACAACAGTGTCCAGTCAGACGGGCAGTGTTCAGCAGTGCAGTGTCCAGTCATACAGTGTGCATGGACTGCAGTGTTCAGTCAAACAGGCTGTATTCAAGTACGGCAATGTCCAGTCACACAGACAGGCAGGATTCATATACTGCCTACTGTATCTGTGTGTCCAGTCAAACAGGCCATGTTATTGTACAGTACTACTGTGTTAATGTACTGCAGTGTCTAGTCAGGCAGTGATCATGTACTGTAGTGTCCGGTCAGGCAAACTGAGAACTTGATGTATTGTACTGATAAAACCAGTTCATACCTTCCTTCAGCAAGATTTATCGGACTTGAGTTTCACTGCAGATCTTAAATGTTCTCTTAGACCACTTTAAAATCCCTGCCTCTCCTATTAGTCTGACTCAGATCCTACAAGGAGAGGTATTGCAAACAGCTGGAACAACAGGCCAGCAAGGGCCTGGGGGATAAGGTCTAGATCAGATTCCTCAGGGTCTGGAACCCAGCTGGTTTTCTGAAGCTGGAATTCCTAGGCCTTTTGTTGTAAACAGCTCTTTATCTGGGAGGTCATAAGATCCAATTAGATTTTGAATGGACCAATGCATCTAGCATCGACAGGCTTAAGCTGTGGACAATTGAAAGAATCTCTGCCATTCCAGATTTTACACTCCAGACCTCAAGATCCCGATCAAAGATCATCTAGCTATTATTAACTTTGCATTTAGTAACAGACTTTTGAACAAGCCCATGCATAAATGCTACATAAATAAATGCTTATCATTGTGTACAATAAATTTACCGCTGTCTTCTGCACATTGAAAACGTGTTATGTACAGCTCCTAAACAAATATCTGCCTACCACAGACAGAGAGACAGCAGAGACACACTCTGCACCATATCAGATGAGTGTTGCAGCAGGCAGGGAGAAGAGAGAAGAGCCCACATGGAATTAAACAGGAGGGAGGGGGAATGTCAATATTGTTTGTATTCTTTCTGAACGGGGCATTTCTGCTGTTCTTGCTGGGAAGTTGGGGGAGAGTGAGAGTCAGTAGTTAATGTTGAACAGGCTGATTATTGCACTGTATCTACACGGTACCACTGCCATCAAACACCATGTACTTTGGCAATGCAGAAACACGAAGGCCGTGCCAAGTCGGAGTTTTGAAACATCCATTTTTCGCTCAGAGGGAGGGAGAGCATCAGAGATAAGCAATAACTACCAATCAGGCCAGCTGGGTCAAACAGCCAAAATCGAATCTCGTGCTCTTTCGATGGGTACCACACAGAAAATATCATAAACACAGACAACACTAAACAGACACACAGTCATTTACAGAAATTACAGCCAATGTACACTTAGTGGTTTAGGAAGTCTTGTTTTAATTTTATGAGATGCAAAAATATACAGGACGTGATTTGCAACACATTACAGCAGTACAAAAAGTTTATACATGCGTCAATTATGTCCAACTTGATTACAAATCAACTTTAATAACAAAAATCATTTACATCCAAGCCACAAGACTCACACCAACTGCAGATTCAAAAAGCTTTGACAAAGAATAGTTCAGCGTCTGTTTTTATTCTATTTTATTACTGAGGGATTCTCTCACCTCCTCCCTCTACCACTGTGCCTCCTGTTCTGTTGTGTGTGTTTATCACTGAGGGCTTCTGTGTTATCTCCACTCTCTTTCCCAAAACAGACTGCATTTTAAAAATATACTTAAGTATTTACATGTATATACAGTACAGAAGAGGGTGGACTGGAAATAAAAGTGCTTTATCTTCAGAGGAAAAATCCTACATTTCTGCTCTTCTCCCTCATGTATGGTAGAATCCTCTGGGCTTGGGGCTGAAAGATATGCATTAGAGAGCAGAGTGCCCATTAGAAAGATAGCGAGTTGATTGAGAAACAGGTGAAGAGCTACAGGCTGGCGAGTTGATTGAGAAACAGGTGAAGAGCTACAGGCTGGCGAGTTGATTGAGAAACA